AGAGAATCTACAAAATCGTTGGGAGAGCGAACAGGGGCAAGTACCAAAGTCAGTCATTATGATGTTCAGCTATTGTTTTCACTCTCTTCTCTTGAATCAAACACATTTCTTCTAAAAACGAGAATGGAAGTAGTTATGGTAAATTGGTAATGTGACTCCACCATAATTCTATATATAAAATCATATTTCTCTCATCATAATAACCATTTCTAATTTCTCTGTGATGTTTTACTCCTGCACGTGACAAAATGAGGTAATAACAGTAGTACACACCAAACCAAGCAATTTATGCCGGCTGAAGCTTTCCCACAGAGACTAATTTAGACTTTTCCCCTTACAGTAGTATCAAACAAATTCAAGATGTAGTCCAAAAGTTTTCAAAATTTACCGCTCATCTAAATGGCTAGGTACAAAATAAATAACTAAAAAAAGAGCTGTTTGGTTGTTGGAAAGAATGGGAATGGAATGAATTAAAAAAAAAAAAAAAAATGAAGTATGTCACCTTTTCCACTCATAGTAAGCACAGTAAAATTCAATACTACTACACCCTCCACAAATTTTATAAATCATGACATTCAACCTCATGAACTAAATTACCTTTCCCTCTTTATGAATATGTGATTGATTTACCTTCCCTCCTCATATTGATTATTTTATTTTTATCTTTATTTCTTTAATCCATTTTATTCTTTTCCTTTCTAGCAACCAAACAGGTCCAAAGAGTTCACGAGTGCAGCGACAAACAGCCAATGGACAACTGTCACTGTAACCCAACAAATAAACTTAATAGACTGGCTGTCTTACAAAATATCCAGCATGGCTTAGTAGAATTTTTTGCTTTCACCAAACGAGGGACACGAGCAATAAGCAAATGGTTGCATTAATCTGAAAGAACCCTTTAAACTTAACTGTACCTTAATTGGCATGGAGGACCCCATGATCAAACAAATCTAAGCACGAAACATGATCACATCATGATGGACCAAACAGTTAATGCAACTTGTAAAGATGGAGGGCACTAGTAATATTTGACCAATTAAAAGGAGTTTATCGTTTTATCTACATTTTCATTTCTATTTATGATCTATTCATCATGAGGGAACAACAACAATGTCATTGATCTAGATGTGAAGTCCAGGGCTGAAGTGATAAATCCAAGAGACACTTTAAGAAGATAAATTGAGAATTTGGTTTCATTTACCAATTTCTTCCGCACATGTATATTGAGGTCACTGTAGAACTCAACTTGATAAGGTAAATTCTATAATGAATGAAAGCATGAGATCATGTATATGCCATTTTAGAATCAAATGACAAATCAGAATGATAAAGGGGAGCCTGTTTGATCATTTGTTTTTACAAACATGATTTAGAAATTTGAAAAAGAATCAACGACGACAAGAAGAAGACGAAGCAACCTTATCTAATTAGGTGAAATTGGCTACATGAACTGTACAATATCATTGTACTTCATCAACAACCAAATCTTGAAAAAGTAACTGACATTTAAAAAATTGGCATTCCACCATAAAATAAAGAAAGAATTTGCTAGAGTCATAAATATGGTAAGGGAAGCCCATTTGATTCTCTTTTTTTTCCACAAAAAGAGAAGTATAAAATAAATTTAAGCTTTTATTTCATTGTAATTTATAGATATATATATGGTAATCTTTGTATTATGGTATAGCATACAGCTCTGAGAATAACGCATTTGGCATTTTAGTTACCTCCTATATAATCTTTACAAAGAATGAGAGAAGTTAGTTTGAGCATGGAAGTCTTAAGGGAAACACCAAACATTAGCTCCTGGAAAATCATTCTAACCAACTACTAGGATCAACTGGCAAGAGAATTGGTCCAGCTTAATCAGTGGTCTCAAGTTCAAGCCTTAGGTATGTAGTAGTGATTAAATTATTGGTGGGAGGTATGCCCCCCAAAGAGGTGCTCTCAATTACCAACCACATTAGTTTGGGTCAAAAACCTGAGATATCAGAGCTCACACCAAAAAAAAAAAATCATTCTGAAGATGTCATGTACTGAGTTAAGATTTCTTTTCTCTTGCTTCTCATTTTTCCTCATCATCTCATTCTCTTCGCCACAAGCAAAATAGTAAAGTGGTATGCCATGCATGACCTCATTCCAAATGGTTATTTGTTTAATTAAAACTTCTAGAAGCTGCCATGGTAAAGACATGCTGCTCCAATCACGTCAAGAACAAGTAAACTGAGAAATCTTGTCAGCATTTTCAGATATTTAATTTATAATTCAAAATTATTGGACTTAGTCATTTCCTAGCACAAAGGCTTAAAGAAGTTATTTGTGATAGGGAGGTACCTAATATGCTCAAAGGAAAGTTTTATTAGACTGCTGTAAGATTAGTCATGTTATATGGTAGTGTTTGTTGGACTTTAAAAGGATAGCAAGAGCATAAAGTTAAAATAACAAAGATAAGAATATTGAAATAGATGTGCAAGTATACATGAAAATATAAAATCTATAATGAGCATATATAAGAAAAAGTGGGCATGGCATCTACTATGGAAAAGATTGTAGAAAATTATTTGAGATAGTTTAAACATATATAGAGAAGGCCATGGGAGGTACTAGTGAAGAGAGTGAATCATACAGGGAAAAGAAAAAGAAAAAAAATTATGAAAGTTATTGAATGAGATCTCTTTATTAATAATATTCCCAAAGCTTTGGTTGATGATAAAGTATAATGGTATCATGCAATCCATATAACCGATCACACTTAGTGAAATTAGGCTTCCTGCTACTGTTATAGTCATTTTCCTAGCACTTGTAAAACCATTCATACGTAAGTATATCTGATTGACACACTGAGCGTTTTCCGGAAAAGCTATATAAATAAATGTTCACTCAAAAGCATGTGTGAGGATTAACGAATATAAACAAATAGAAATTTAGTGATGACTTCATACTTCAGTCATTGAAGTTGTCATTACTTTCCCTGTAAAAGACTCAAGGCAAGCAATATCCACTGCAGAAACGTCTTAAGCAACATGTCTGAGAGACAATGTTGACATCAAATTTTATGTGATGAAGCCGATGTTATGGTCCGGCAGCATCAAAGATTAATTTGATATTGCTTTAACAGCTTCTTCATCGGGTCTAAGACTTGGTAAGAAATTAGACTTAGTCCTATGTTACATTTCACTAACTTCTGCGAGGAAGATGATTTCAATAACAAAAAATCCGGGAGGCGATTCCCTCAGCCTCTCGTGGTCCCACACTATATTATCTATGTACTCTAAAATATGAAGTGGTTGAAACTGGAAACAGGCATGGGGACAAAAACAGTTGGATCATTAAGAAACCTGCAACCATTGACTGCTTCACATCTTCTCACTTATTCAAAATTTGCTAGACTCAGTTTCATGAGAACTCAATAGAAGGTATCGGCAACAAATTCGGCAGAAATTTAAAGACAGGAGCTGGGTCAAGGAAAGCTATACAATATTCTTTCCTTGAAATGTTTCAAGTATAAATTTTGTAATTCATGAATGATTCCTTAAGAGCCATATAACTAGAATACTTCCTGATGATAAACGATCTGAACATCGTTTGTTAAGTTTATAATTCGTGAATCAGGGATGCGCACTAGATGTCAGGATCGAAGTTGGATGATTAGGAGTCAGGAGGTCCTAAGGAGGAAAGAAAAAATGAATAGAAAATAAAAGGAACTTATAATTCTTATTTTTGTTTCTTTTAGCCCTTCTTTGGGTCCAATCATTAGTATCTAACCACAGATTATAGCCAAGTACATAGAAGAATAATGTCCATGCTTATGATGACACACTGACGTAATGTATTTAAATTTTTAAAAGGTAGAAGTCTTGCAGGCCTATGAAAGTCATAAGCTACGAACATTTCACACAATAAAACATTGATGTCGCCGGAAATTCAGCGAAACAAAAATAAATAAAATGTTATGAATTTTTCAACTCGAAGTTGCACGTTAGAGCCAAAGATTAGTTTTATATATGAAGCTCCAATTACAAAAAGTTATTTCTTGTTCATCAGGGAGACAGAGACCAAATCTTCAGGGTTCCTTTTTTAAAAAAGAAAAAATTAACTCAACGATTATCTCAAGGACATTAACCATCAATCTATATCATATCAAAAAGATTTAACCTTCACGCCTTTTGTTATTTATAATCACTAGAAAATTGTTAAAGCACTCAACAATTCATTATCTTTTTTTTTTTTTGGCCAACAGCTCTTCATTATCAATAGATGTTTCTTCAATGAAACAGTAATTGATTTTTTTCAATAAAGAAATTTTGTTTTAATACGGTCAATTTTGTAAAGAAATCAATTCAATAATAATAATAATAGTTTATTGTATACTCCCTTTGTTAAAAAATGTAAAACATTTTTAACCGAATCACATTCCTCAATAAAATAATTATTTATTTTTAAACTAACTCTATCTTTTTATATTTATCTCTATTTAATACGGTGTTTCATCCTAAAATAAATATAAAGTGATTTATTCGACAGAAATACTTTAAAAAAATTAATAATTAAAAATATTTTATATTTATGAATACAACCCTCCAAAAAATAACTTTAATTTTGTAAGGGAGGGAATATAAAATATCAATAATTTTATTTCAGTTCACTCCCCCACTCCTATAGTCCCACTCTCCTCGCTTTTCCTTCTCGGGAAGGCTCGGCGAAACGGGGCGCAAACGACAAAAGAACCAAAAGGCAGAGCAAAGAAAGTGAAATAGTTAGTGGCCAAATTAACAAAACGAACGAAGACTTACCTCGAACTCTCTGTCGTCGATGCAGAACATGTCTTTATCTGACTGCCAATCTAACGGCACAAAAGCTATAGAACAAGTTTACTCGGTGTCCCTTCCCGTAGAATAACGCAACGATGAGAATGATTGAGAAGGCAATGCGAAGCTTCCTCCTTCCATCGTCGCATCCATTGAAAAATTCGCCTCTATCGTCTATATATATCAGTTTTTCCACTCGCAGATTCACTCAACCCGGACGCAATCCTATCTCCTCTAAATCTTCTCAAGAGTTTCATAAGCTCTTCTGCTTCTTCTTCTAGTCCTTCCTCTCCTTCAGAGAATCGATTTTGCAATCTAGTTTGGTTTTGTTGAAGTCATACTCATGGCAAATCCTGTTGAACTTTCAGCCCTCAATCGTATAAAATTGCATCTTCTAGGTGAACTGTCTCCTGTTGGCAGTTCAGCAGGCGATGCTATCCAACACCTACAGCTCTCGTTTGGTGAACCGAACGGAGCAATTACCAGCTCTGATTCTGACTCTCTGTGTTCCCAATCATCAAGTTCTGACTCTTCTATCACTGTGTCTGATTACCTCCCTGAACTATTCGACTTCCCATCAAACCTATTTGAGTTCGAGTTCAAAAATCAAGTCATTGACCTCTCAACGCCCAAATTCGAAACCGAAGCTTCACAATTTAACTCCCATTTTTCCGAATCAAATGCAAACTCACAGGCAACTTCAAGCTCTGGCTCACAGACCAGCAGTTGTATGTTCGAGTTTCAAACTACACCCCAAATCGTCGAGAAGAAATCTCACTTAAATCGGAAACCATCGCTGAAAATTACGCCACCGAAAAAAACCGAGTGGATCCAATTTGGAAACCCGGATCAACAACAGGAGGTTTCAGAGGTGTTCGTGCAGAATAAGTCAGACCTTGAAGTAAAAAGGCACTACAGAGGAGTCCGACAGAGACCATGGGGCAAGTTCGCAGCAGAAATTCGGGACCCGAACAAACGTGGAGCTAGGGTGTGGCTCGGAACGTTCGATACGGCGATCGAAGCCGCAAAAGCCTACGATCGAGCCGCGTTTAAGCTTCGCGGATCCAAAGCCATACTCAATTTTCCTCTGGAAGCAGGAACCTCCGGTTCGACGGACGGCACGGAGGAGAAAAAACGCCGGCGGCAAGATGATGCGGTGGAGGCTGAAATGGAAGTTAAACCAGTAGTGAAGAAAGAGAGGACGGCGGAATCTGACGTGGGAAGAATAAGGGATACACCGCTAACGCCGTCAATGTGTACAGGCTTCTGGGATAGTGATTTGAAGGACATCTTCGCAGTCCCGCCGTTATCGCCGTTATCTCCTCACCCCACTTTGGGTTATCCACAACTCATGGTTGTATGAATTATGAAATAAAGAGCATTTAAAAAAAAAATTAAAAGGAGAACCATTGTACAATTTGATCTTGTTAGTGACCCATGCTAAATGATTCAATTTATTTGATTTTTTGAACTGCCACTATCCATCATACTCGCTGCCAAGAGAAATTTTTAATTTAAATGTTGTGTTAGTATTTCTTCTCTTTAAATCATTTGATATCTAATATTTTTTCTATCTTAAATTGTAAGATATTTTTAAATAAAATTTTATATATTAATAAATTTTATTAAATAAATTTAATAAATTTATCATTCCAAAATAAAAATATATGCTTTTAAAAATATTAATAATTTAATATATTAAAAATAAAAGGGTGAAAATTATTTAAAAAAATAATAATATTAAAATTGATATATTTAATAAAATTTTAATCTATTTAAAATTTTTATATTTTGAAATGAAATTTTTTTTAAAAACATTTTATAATTTAAGACACAGAGAGTATTAAATAATTAATTTAATTTTTAAATTATAAACAATAAATCCTAGAACATCTGGACATTAAACATATTTTTTTAATTTTTAAAAATAATGCAAGTCAAAAAATAACTTTATGATTAATTGATCAGAAAATAATAATAAAATATCTACAAAATTATAGAAAATAACCCATTAAATTTTATTGGTTTTTTGTGAAATTTTAGAGGTTTTTTTATTATTTTTTTATCAATTAATAATTAAAGTTAATATTCATTAATAGTAAAAATTATATTGTGCTATTTTTTGAAGTTAAAAAGTAACATTAAACTAAAAATGAATTTATGAGTTTATGTTTTGAATCTATAATTTAAGGATGGAATTATCTTTTAATTCTCATTTCACGTTACGTTGAATTCAATTTAATTGAAATAAATTTTTAACAAAACTTTTATTTTTAATGTATTATAGCCAATCATTTAGGTCAAGTTGAACTCTCCAACCTGAACAAAGTTTTGAAAAAAATCTAACGTCAGGCTTAAGAAAAAACTTTATCTTACAATCAAGTTTTTCAAGCTAATTCGATGTATAAATATTTCAACCACGCAAGCGTAATATGATTAAGTTTTCTTTGTTCATTAAAAAAAATTTAAAATATATAAAATTCTCTTAAATTAAAATAGTTGTATGGAACTCTTCTCATCTTTAAAAGTTAAAATTAATTTTCTTAATTTTTTATTTTTTATCATGGACTCTGTTATTATTTTTTAATTACCTTATTAGGAGAGTAGCCATGACATATTTAAAAATACATATAGCAGCTCATATGACATCTAATATAAATTAATAATAAATTTATAAAAATTTTATTTATAATTTTCTGTTATTATCAACTTACATTGGATATTGCCTAAGTTGCTACCTGATTTTTTTAATATGGCATGAAGATTTTTATTAGTGAGATAACTAAAATATGATAATTGAAAAGTTTGTAGTTAAAAAAAAGTTAATGGAGTCAACTTTAAATTTTTAAAAATGAAATAAATTATATGCAATTGCTTCAATTAGGAGTTTTAAATCTTAATTTTATTGGTCTTCATGACTCGAGCTGAAAAGTACTGACGCAAAATACCATTAAGGGTTACCCAATATGCTGACTCTAATGATGAAGATGAGATGGAAAACAAGTAAAGATAAGAAGAATTTGTGAAAAAAATTTATATATTAAAAATGTTGAAGTGCACAAAATTTTAACTCGCACTAGCTAGGTCAAAAAAAAAAAAATTGCACTGGCTAAATCGTAATTCTGTTTTTTTCTCATTCAAAATGTCTCTATATAATCCAAAGAATTATTTATCATGATGATAACGTATTTTGTGTGCGCAATGTAACATCTCAATTTAAATTTTAATAGTTAATTTGGGTTAATAGAAATAAAAAAATAATATTTAGAGGTAAGAAAATTAGTAAGAGATGATTATTAAATCTAACTTAGGATATAATTCTAAAAAAATTAATTAAATAAAAAAAATTTAAAAAAAAATAATTAAAAAAATATATTATTAAATTATTATTATAATAAAAAAAAAGGAAAAGGTTTGCAAAAAAAAAGAAAGAAAACGTGCTACCGCCTCAATAGTAACAATAGTAAAGAAAAATAATAAAAAAAAAAGAAGAAGAAAGAAGAGAGAGAAAAGAATAAAAAAATGTGTGGGACCCACTGAATTTTTATAAAACTCACCCGTTTCCTTTCATTTCTGCAATTCTTTTCCTGCGCGCGAGCTGAGGCGGAGAGAAGCGAGTCGCCGGTGCAAAATATCTAAATTTTTAAGGTAAGAGTTTTTAATAGGATATTTAGGGTGTGATTTTAAGCTTTTTAAGACTAAGTAAGTGTTCTAAAATTTTTTCTTAGTCATCCTTCTTCTTTGATTTCTAATTTTGTAGTGGTAGAAAATTTAAGATCTGGAAGAGGGATGAATTTATGTTGAATAAATATGATTTTTGAGGTTGTTAGTAGTATAATAAATATTCTAGAGTATAAATTTATTGGTGATCTTTGAATTTGTGGCTTATGGATCAAATTTTTAAACTAGATCTGAAAATATATGTTGATTTATTGAGGTTTAGATGATTATTTGGGACGAGAAATGAATTATTATGGTTATAGGATTATGATTCTAAACTAGAGACTCAATTTTTAATTTTTGGGTATTTTAGGTACGAATTTATGAAATAAAAAGAAAATTTTGATAATAGAAATTAGTTTAAAAGTTGATTTTTAGATTATTAATGTTTATTGATAATTAAAAGAGGAGTTAAAAATTTTACTTAATAGTATTAACTATAGATTTGTATTAAGATTGAAATTAGGAATATATTTTTAATTCCATTATTAGAATTATTTTATTAGTTTCAAAAATTGAAACTAATATTTATAAATAATATGTTATTTTGTAGATTGTATTACTGGTGAAGATTGTGGTGAGAGAGAAATTTTAAGGAATAATTTATTGAAAAAGCCACAAGGTAACCATGCTTTTAATTTGTGATTAGTGTTACTTCATGTTAATTGGATGATTATTGAGAAAATTATGAATTTTTATAATATTGTATAATTGTGCAATATTATTATGAATTTGTTTAATTATTGTGGGAGGTGTTGGGAGACTTGCTATTATTGTTGTATTTATGTGCCACGTGGTACGCCCCTATTGGAGCTTAATAGGTGGTTTGTAAGGGCTCGGGCTAATCTACCTTTAGTCGGGTAATTTAGCACCGAGTGAGGGCTACGGCTCGAGGTTAATGGAGGGATATAAGAATGGTTGTTTGTGTTTATTATAATATTTCTTATATTTGTTGGAATTATATTATTTTTAATTCTCACTTAATAAGCACACACTTAACTGTTTGTATACACTATCATAAATTGGCTTTGGTTACTGGGACTTTTGAGTCTCATTATGTGGTCAACAATTTTCAGGAGAAGAGCCACGAGTGACACGTGGAGGAGTCCCAGAGGCTTAGTGGTATAGATCCACTGTCTCTTTTGGGTATTTAATTTATGATTTATAATGTGTTATATTGCCAATATTAGGGCTTTTTGTTTATTGTCAATTATATGAATATATAAATGTAATCATGCCTTTCAAACTATTTCTATTTTTGGTACAATTTGGATGACTGTAATTTTAATATTTGTTTTACTTTGGATTGGTTAAAATGACATGATTATAAGACCAAATAACTGGCTTGTGTTGAAAATTGACTAAATTGCTTATTTTACTTGTTGGGAGTATAAGAATGGACAAATGTGATTTAGTTTACTTGTTGGGAGTATAAGGATGGACAAATGTGATTTAGTTTACTTGTTGGGAGTATAAGGATGGACAAATGTGATTTAGCCTAATGGCATGTGGGAGGTAAAAATTTATCTGAAATGTTATAGTGTGTGAGTTGAAGCCAATTATAAAATATTTTATATCGAAATTATTGATATAAAAATATGTTGGGTGGCTGTAACCCAACTATGGTTGAGTTAAATTATAAAAAAAAAAATTTGGTGTGTTACAAATAAAATATGATTTACCAAAACCTTTAAATAATTGAAATGTGAATTTCATTTTCAAAGCTAATAACCGTGATTATGAATGGATGACCGGCAATAAAATATAATTTCCATGAAAGCTTCACAATTTTTATTTTATGGTCATAGCTTAGTTTGAACGTAATGCAAAGAGACAGGTTCTGTGTGGGTTAAGTTAAAAATTTAGGTTTGTCTGATAAATGAGATGAAAATAAAATAAAAACTAATGGATACCTATAAAAACACAACATTTAGTAGATACTTCCTCCATTCCTCTATAAAAGAGAGAAAAAATGTATCACATAGTTTAAAAAAATTAATTAATTATAATAATTATATCTAAAAATAAAATATGTGGACTAAAATATCCTGTGTTAATTGATATAAGCATATATTAATTATTTTTTATTAATATAAATTACGAGGAATAATTTAAAAAACGTGTAATAAATGCTTATTGAAATGGATGATTTTGCTTATAAAAAAATATAAGTTAAAAGTAATAGTTTTTTTGATAATAAAAAATGAAGGGAGTATTTATAAAGAAAGATTGAGATTGAATAAGCTTTTTTTTCATTGTTCATAAATATCTTTTTATTAGAGATAATTTTATTCAAGACATGATGGGGGTACAAAATGTGGGCATTCTTCCAGTGAAAAGTTGAACCTTGATTTGGTACATTGTGTTGTTAGTGGCTTCTTTTGCTAGAATTAACTCTGATTCATAAACTGAATAGCTTTTCAAGTAAGAAAAATGATAAATATTTCTCAACAAAATAGACAAATGATAAAATGATAACATAAAATGGACAAATTACTCTAAATTCATTAAGGACTTATCTATTTTTTTTTGTAAAATCACATTTTTAACACTAATAGAATAATATAAGACATATGTAGTTATTAAAATTTAAACTAAAGTTGCCAATAAAAAAGTTGAAATTATTAATATAGGAAGCGTATTTGTTAGTTTAATAATGTAACAGTAAGTTCACTTCGTAAACAATTTTAGTTTAGTTATATATAATAACTACTATACTTCCTATATTAATAATTATGGTTCAGATTTTAA